CAGGCGAGCGCGCTACCGCTTGAGCCACATCCCCAGCCCCAGACACTGATATCTCTACATAATGATGATCAATCTGCTTTGAGGGACGTTTTGCTACCCAAACAAGTGTCAAGTCTGGGCCAGGGACACAGAGAATAGAGAGAAATGATGGATGATACCTATCACTGGGACTTATTTACACACAGCTGGTAAAACTATAAAGTGGCACACTCTCTGGAAAGTATTTGGTAATATGCATCAAATTTTAAATATCTCCAAACACATTTCACCTATATAATACCATCTCTATGAAGTTATCAAAACAACAACCTGATATAGGCACAAAAATGTTGCAATGTTATAACAGCTTAATAGGCTGGGACTGTAGCTTAGTGGTAGAGCACTTGCCTTGCATGTATGAGGTACTGGGTTCAATCCTCAGCACCACATAAAAATAAATAAAGATATTATACCAACCACAACTAAAAAAATTTAAAAAAACAGCATAATAAATATAAAAACATTAATGTGTACTTGAAATAAGTAACAGAATATTTAGAATTATATTTCAGGCAAGGGATATGACTCAGTAGTAGAGTACTTACTGGGCACGTGTGAGGCCTTGGGTTTGATACTCCAAGCATAATTAAAAAAAAAAATCACATTTTCACTGGGTCTATTGGCACATGCCTATAATCCCAATTAATCATGAGGCTGAGGTAAAAGTATCACAAGTTCCATGTCAGCCTAGGAAATTTAGGGAGACTCTGTCTCAAACTGAAATATAAAAGGTCTGGATGTAACTCAGAGGCACAGTACTGGCCTAGGATGTCCAAACCCTGAGTTCAATCCTTGATACTTCCAAAAAAACCGTATTTTAAATATCCATTTGGTGACATAGGTAGAAAACACAATGTCAAATGAAAAGTTGCAAAATATATAATTGATATATAATTAAAAACATACATGTAAATATATATGCATAGAACAAAGGGGCGAAATCCAGCCACATATTAATACAGATGGTGACTGAGTTACCAAGAATTTCTATTTTCCTTTAACATTATCTGTGTTCCTTTTTCTTTTGGTATGATACTGAGGCTTGAACCCAGGGATGCTCTGGCTGAGCTACATCCCATTTAATTATTTATCTAGGTACTAGGGATTGAACTCAGGGGTGCTTTATCATCAAGTATTATCCCCAGGCTTTTTATTTTGAAACCGGTCTTGCTAAGTTTTTGAGGTCTCATTAAGGTGCTGACAGGCCTTGAACTTGTAATCCATGTGCCTCAGTGTTGGGATTACAGGTGTGGGCCACCATGTCCAGCCACACTGCCTGTATTTTGTAGACTTCTGTCATAAGTATATTCCTTTTACAATCACAGGGAGTATACAGGTTTTTGTCTAGGGTTCTAGCAACCTGTGTGGGAGGACTGGCCTCTCCTTGAAAGCTACCAGGGTACTGTGTCTTTGGGGAGAGTTGGCAAAGACCTGGCAGTGCAGGGAGAACTTTAGGAAGGTACTAAGGTGGTAGGGAACATTGAGGGGGGCTGCTGGGGAGGACAGAGAAAATGGAGGAGTCATCACAGGAAGCCCAGGGCTGCACAGGACACTGGCCACAAAAGGACATTTTGACAAGGTACTTCTAGTTCAGCCAGTGGCCAATAAGGGTGACTGCAAGAATAAGTGAGTGTTTTTGCAGTGAGAAGCCCACCTAAGATGAGGTCCTAAGAGATGGTGGAGGCACAAGGGGATTATTAGACAGTGGACTTCAAGGTCTATGTGACTAAGAGTTTCCAATGTCTTATAAAGAGAACTTGCCTTTGGTGGTAATAAAAAAGATTACGCTTCCGGAATGCTTCACTCCTAATGGGAACAGAGGCTTGCCCTGTGGGTTCTCCCTGTCCTCTGACTCCTCCAGGCCCCTCAGTTATCATCTCAGCTAAGACTGTTCTAGTTCCCAGGAAGGAAAGACTGAGCTAGTTTCAGAAAAAGGCTCTAGCAGTGCTTTGACATGTCTAGAGATTAAGACATGATGTAGCTGTTGCTGGTTAGGACTCTGTGCAGAGAAGTATTCCTGTGCTTCAAGAGACAAAAAGGAGTTAGAACTGGGCACGGTGGAACATGCCTTTAGTAATCTCAGTGACTCAGGAGACTGAGGTAGTAGGAGTATAAATTTTTTTTTAAAAAAATACTTTTATTTTATTTATTTATATGTGGTGCTGAGGATCAAACCCAGGGCCTCACACGTGCTAGGTGAGCACTCTACCACTGAGCCACAACCCCAGCCCAAGGAGGAGTGTAAGTCATATAAATAAATAAATAAATAAATAAATAAATAAAGGTCTATCAACAACTAAAAAAAAAAAAATATTGGAGGGGCTGGGATTATAGCTCAATGGTAGAGTGCTTGCTTGCCTTGTATGCATGAGGCCCTGGGTTCGATCCTCAGCACCACATAAAAATAAATAAATAAAAATAAAGATATCGTGTCCATCTACAACTAAAAAAATAAAAATTAAAAAAAAGTTGGAAAAGTCAGGTGTAATGGTGCACACCTGTAATCCCAACTTGGCAGGCTAAGGCAAGAGGATCACAAGTTTAATACCAGTCTCAGCAACTTAGTAAGACTGTCTCAAAATTAAAAAAAAAAAAAAAAAGAAAGAAAGAAAGAAAGAAAGAGAAGGGCTGAGGATGTAGATCAGTGGTTAAGGGCCACTGTCTCAAACCCCAGTTAAAAAAAAGAAATTGGAAAAAATATCTGACCATGAGGCAAACCTTGAAGCAGGACAAAAACAACGAAATATGTGTGACAGATGGTACCATTTTATGGTAGAGGCTGAAACCGCATACATCTGTTACCTCTAAATGGGAAACAGATTTAAAAACGTCAAGGTGTTAAGAAGGGTTGAAATCCAGTGTTTTCAAAAGTGGGTTACATGACCAGAAAGCTAAATATGCAGGAAATATCACTCATTAATACTTAAAAAGAATAGCTGGGCAAGGTGGCACATGCCTGTAATCCCAGTGGCTTGGGAGGCTGAGACAGGAGAATCGAAAATTCAAAGCTAGCCTCAGCAATTTTGTGAGGGTCTAAGCAACTTAGAGAAGCCCTGCCTCAAAATAAAATATAAAAAAGGTGGTAAACTGCCCCTGGGTTAAATCTCCAGCACCCCACAACTAAAATAAATAAAAGAGGCAGGGATATTGTGTGTGGCTCAGTGGTAAAGCACTTGCCTTGTATGAGTAAGGCTATGAGTTTATTTCCAGCACCATCAGAAAAAAGAAAAAAGTAATACATACTAATAGAATAGAAATTCCAGCAAAGAAGTATACAGAGCACAAAGTGAAAACCAAGTCACCTCTCCAACCTTTTCTGTGAATACATACAGGTTCTGTGAAATGAAAAAGGCAACCATTTACTGAGCATCTACTGTATGCTGGGCACCCCTCTGCTTGTCCTCACATTCTTCTTTTTTTCTTTTTAAATACTTTTTAGTTGTAGATGGACACAATACCTTTATTTATTTATCCTTATGTGGTGCTGAGGATTGAACCCAGGGCCTTACACATGCTAGGCAAGTGTTCTACCACTGAGCCACAACCCCAGCACCAGCCCTTCCTCACATTTTTWAAAATTTTTTTATTTAGTTGTGGATGGCCYTTTATTTTATTTATTTTTATGTGGTGCTGAGAATAGAACCCAGTGCCTCACACATGCTAGGCAAGTGTTCTACCACTGAGCTACAACCCCAGCCCTCCTGACATTATTTATGTCAATTTTTATAACCTCTTCCCATATTAGGTATAATTACCACCCTCATTTGTGAAGAGTGGCAGAACAGCAGCCATGTGCCATTCTGCAGGCAAGATGCTCCAAGAAGAAAGAACTGTGTCTGCCAAGGTTCTGCTGGGGGCCAGGCTTAGCATGTGTGAAAGTAAGAAAAGGGAGCAAGAGTTTGTGAGGCTGAGCCCCAGGAGGAGTCTGGACACATGGAAGGGCCTCTCATAGCAGCACAATGGTGTCCATGCTGGAGCTTTCAACTGAGTAGGGCAGATAAAGGCTCTGGGGAACAGATTTGGCTAAAGTTAGAATGCTACACTAGACCCAAACTCAACCACACTTTCCATATCCTGAACACAATGGCCCTTATATTTTAGCATCTCTCAAGCAGTGACAGAGACACACCCACAGCCCCTCAAATACCTGTACATTCTTTTGTCTGAGAATCAGACTAGTTGATTACCCAAATACACTCACAAGTACCCAAATCAGGAAGCAATGCTTTGTGATAAGCTGGTTTCCCAGATAATACAGAATATTCTGATAAATTTTTAGATCATAAAATTAAAAACACAAGTTAAAATAAATTATAGTTCCACAGACCCCCATGAATATCTAAGTGGACTTGGGTTTGGTAAACACAGCTCAGTGATATCCTTAACTGTCCTACAAGAGCTGGGCTTCGATTCTAGCAATGAACAGTGACCCTCGACTGAAGAAAGTCCTATGCCATGGTATCCTTATTTTTAATAAGCCACTAATCTTATTTTTGGCTCCACTTCTCAGTGAAGAATAAGTTCACAGAAGGATAAGGACACCCACCTCATAGCCAAACTAGCCAAATCTGCCTTGGTGGTCAGGGCTAGATAAGAAGATGATCATCTCAGAAGGGGAAGACACAATAGGAGGGCACACATGTGACTTTTATTTTGGGGGGAGTATTATAGCTACTCTGGAAGTGCAGCCTAGCCTCCAGAAGTCTGAAGAATGCCTTAGATTATGTGCTAGTTTCAGTGAAGGCTGCTCCTGCAACAAGGCTGTGACAATGACAGTCACATTCAAAACCTCAGTGACAAACTGGAGCCTAGGAGTTGCCAGTCACTAAGCAGTGATCAAAGACACAGCTAGGTGGTTTGTGCTGACAAAGCTAGTTGAGTGTGTTTGAATTGGGACATATTTACTTTGGAAAATATGCAAAAACAACCCAGCACCAAAGTTCACATTGAAACTCCACTGGTGACCCTGGCTGATTTCATCTCTGTAGAGCCGCTTCTCAGAAGGACAGAGGTAAGTTCGGTTTCTAATATTTCTTTTGATTGTAAATTCTAATCTTTGGTGTTTGGAGATGAGCAATTCATTCCTTTCTTTATCAATGCGCAAATGCAGAAGCTTTCCACGCTAAGAAGTGGGAAAGTATTTAAAAATTTTAATCTGTCCATTATATAATTAATCCTATTTGTCAATACTGGGACAATTGACAAAATTGGAATAGGAACTATGGAAGAAATAAAAGTATTATATCTATGTTAAATTATTCAAATTGGATAACTATCCTATGTTTTCGTATGAGAATATCCTTGTCTTACACATTTCCCCTTAAAATACTAGTATTAAAGGTTAAAGGGACATGATAGAAGAGACCTAATCTTAAATGGTTCAAAAAATAAAACAATGTGCACATGTGTGTCTGTATGTGTGTGTGTACATATGTACATACACATAAACATGGAGATAGAATATAAAGCAAATGTCCCAAAATGTAAAAATCTGGTCAATCTGAAAAACGGGGATATAGGAAATGCTCTGCTACTTTATTTTTACACCTTTTCAGTGGTTTGAAGTTATTTCAAAATAAAATTTTCCATGCTACAGGCAGCTATTTCTCTCCCATTCCACTTGCTCTGTTTGAACCTGAAGATAATGAGCTGCACGGAAAGCCAAGTTGAGAGGGACAACAATTTTCAGGTGTTCTGCTCTGATGGATGTAACTAATGAGAAAGTGCCATATTAAATTCTCAGAAAAATAAATACCTTAAAATTTATCTTAAAAAAATATTGTTTCTTGAGCTGAGGGTAGTAGCTCAGTGGTAGAGTGCTTGCCTAGCACGTGTGAGGCACTGGGTTCAATCCTAAGCACCACATAAAAATAATTAAAATAAAGGTATTGGGTCCATCTACAACTAAAAAATGTTTAAAAAAATATTGCTTCTCTTCAAAGATAGTAATATGGACTTAAACATAACCTAATAATAATTTTTAAATTTCTTATATAGTTTTTATTATACTAAATAATGAAATGGTAGGAAGGTTTAATTTTTAGATCCTTAAATTGTCAACCCATAAAAAATATCAGAGATATCTTCCCCTTTCTCAGGGAAAATGAAAACTATTTTTGGTTTTTAATCATATAATGTAGGAACAGGGTATAAGAGGCATCCAAATATATACTCTGAATATCAGGATAAAAACATAAATGTACCCTGGGTTCAATTCCAGTATAATAAATTTAAAACAGAAAAAGAAAAATAGAACATGAATGTCTTCAGTCTGCCTCCCTGTCTGGCCTCAGATTCATTTTCCAGAACCCTTATTAATACAAGTTGTTTTCTGTTTTTTCTTTAACCTTAATTTTTTACCTGAAAAGAACACTTTATAAGTGCAGTCAAGTGAGGAGACTTCCACTAAAGTTACCCATTTTCTTTTCCTCTAAATTTATAAAGTTTATTGCCATTAATACTCATGTCTGATTCTATTTGCAAACTGAGCCCCATTCTATTTTCAGTAACACACGTTAAAAATCCTTTCTAGAAATTGCTTCATCCATGCAGACAATATGAGGCCCCTGTAGCCTTAGCAAGGTACTAAGAGGAAAGACATTTTCAAACTTAGAAACTATGTGACTTTCCTCTCCAAAATGTGCAACCCCAAAGTCTCTCAGTTATTATTAAAACAATACTGGAGTTTACTATTTATTTATTTTAAACAGTACGGCAGGGAGAGGACCAAAGTTGGAGCACTGGTAGAAACTATTCCCCAGCCAATTTGGGAGTGTCCTGGCACTTCAGGGCAAACAAGGCAGCAGAGAACTTGACATGTCTGGGTAGGGGGCTCAGCCAACTTGGTTCCAATTTAGCCATTCATTCATTCATTGCAGTGCTGGGGAATCAAACCTGGACTTAAGCATGCTAGGCAAGGACTCTAGCCCCAGCCCAAATCACTGCCTTTATTAGCAACAGCAAAAAAAGGCTCAATATATATAAAATGGAAGGGTGCAGTTAAGTTATACAAAATACCTTATATGCGCCTGGCATCCAACACGGCTCCATCATTTGTCCTTGCCATTATCAATATCAACAAAACTGTGAGCATTCAAATAGGGTTTCTGAACAGTTAGCCCCTAACAATCTCAGGCCTAACAAGTTCAGATATTTAACAGGAGACAATAACTCTTACATGGCTTAGATTGGCAGTAGATATTCTAACAGGAAATAGGAACAGGCACTAAACAAACTTAACAAAACACAATTATTCTTTCTGGAGAGAATAGATTGGGATTATGTACAACCTGCCTAGATCAGCATTATAAATACTATGGCCACTATCTGGTGAAACAAGGAAGCATCAAATAATTGCTCATCATCTACCCAGTATACAGTTAATATCTGGGAAGTAAGAAAGAGCAAGACAAAGCCACTTGGGAGCCAAAATAAATTTCACAAGCTAAGACCTTGGAATAAGGAAGGGGATGAACAGATAAAGATAAGCTAACCACAGATATATGTTAAACACTTACCTTGTATACTTAAACAAAATAAAGGGAATATCCCTTAGGCCTTTAGGGATGTCCTACATTGCCCTCACATAGACTTTGCCTGCTGAGATTACAAGCAGTAGAAAAGATTTAGCTTTTCCTGATAGCAAAATATACTTGTAGCAGGTTACATGACCTTAATTAATAGTTTCTGGGGCTGCCAGGCCACCAACCACATTTTTACTAGGCCCTAAGGGAGTCCTGGCATTACAGACAAGTTCCAGATCTTATAAAAATTAACCCCAAATGACTGCACAAATTTCAAATATCATTAGAAATTTTCAGAAAGCCTGGCCCAACACATTTTCCCATAACAGCACTATCCCAAGGTGGAGTATTTGGGTTGCACAGATAGGATTGAATCCCTCTGCTAGAAATTCCCCTCCTTTCCACGGGCCCACTCAAGTCTCACCTTTTAATGAAGCTTCTCCCCAATTCTCTGTCTGGGCACCCCTAGTACTACTATATGAAGTATAGCCACATTCCTTTACCTACCCTCACATGCTTTGCTTTGAATATTAAGAATGCTCAAATCACTACACATCTATCCCATGAGTCTGGCTCATGAGGCTCTTAGTAGGGAAGACCTTCATGCCTCTATTACCTAATATGCTTTTTGGAGACAGAAGACAATGTTTGATGAATGAATGAAAAAGAAACTTCTTCCTGGCTCTTCTGAACCCCAGGATTCTAGAATGTTAGTTTTGCAAACCTTTACAGAAGGGATTTTCACCCAGGGGCATGAATCTCATGGAAGATTTATAAAGCACATAAAATGTTAGGTGTATGTATATTTTCATCAGATTCTGTTAAAGTTCAGAATCCTCAACAGCTTAAGAACTTGTGCTTTTTTTTTTTAAATAGAGAGTGAGAGAGGGATAGGGAGAGAGAGAGAGAGAGAGAGAGAGAGAGAGAAAATTTTAATATTTATTTTTTAGTTATCGGCGGACACAACATCTTTGTTKGTATGTGGTGCTGAGGATCGAACCCGGGCCGCACGCATGCCAGGCGAGCGCGCTACCGCTTGAGCCACATCCCCAGCCCCAGAACTCGTGCTTTTTTTTTTTTAAAAAAAAATTTATTTATTTTTTTTTGGTTGTAGTTAGACAAAATACCTTTATTTATTCATACGTGGTGCTGAGGATCAAACCCAGGGCCTCGCATGTGCTATGCAAGTGCTCTACCACTGAGCCATAATCCCAGCCCTAGAACTTGTGCTTTTAAGGGAGAGCCTCTCCTGGGCCAAAGCTGCAGGTAATCTACTATTTGAACTGCAATAGGGTGTGGGCCAGCCAGGCCACTCTTCAACATGTCACCTTGTTTTCTCTCACAGCTTTAGCTCTGCCAAAATGAAACACCCCTTCCACCCTCTTTTCATTTTCCTCATCATAACATCTGTGTGTGGTGGAAGCAAAGACTTCACAGATCAGCTTAATAATAAAAACCTGAGCATGCCCCTTTTGCCTGCTGACTTTCACAAAGAAAACACGGTCACCAATGACTGGATTCCAGAGGGGGAGGAAGACGATGATTATCTGGACCTGGAGAAATTATTTGGTGAAGATGATGACTACATTGACATCATTGATGCAGTTTCCCCAATAGAATCAAGTCCTGGGAACATCCTGCAGCTTTTCCAAGGCAAGAGCCGGATCCAGCGTCTTAATATCCTTAATGCAAAGTTCGCCTTCAACCTTTACAGATCACTGAAGGACCTGACCAATACTTTTGATAACATATTTATAGCACCTGTTGGTATTTCTACTGCAATGGGGATGATTTCCTTAGGCCTGAAGGGAAAGACTCATGAACAAGTGCACTCGGTTTTGCATTTTAAAGACTTTGTTAATGCTAGCAACAAGTATGAGATCACAACTATTCATAATCTCTTCCGTAAGCTGACTCATCGCCTCTTCAGGAGGAATTTTGGGTACACACTTAGGTCAGTCAACGACCTTTATGTTCAAGAGCAGTTTCCCATCCTAGATGACTTCAAAACTAAAGTGAGAGAGTACTACTTTGCTGAGGCTCAGGTGGCTGACTTCTCAGATCCTGCCTTCATTTCTAAAACTAACGACCACATTCTGAAGCTCACCAAGGGTCTCATAAAGGAAGCTCTAGCAAATATAGACCCTACTATTCAGATGATGATTCTTAACTGCATATACTTCAAAGGTAAGAAGTAGCTTATGGTTCTCAAAGCAAACTTTGAGAATGTACTTTCTAGACTGAATGTCAAGAGCTATATTCTAGCTATGAATTACCCAAGAAAACAGATCTGTGTCTACAGGGTTGACTCAGATATAGGGACAAGGAAGATCATGATGATGTAACAGCTACTGAGCCCTAACTCTATGCTTTATGCTCACTGGATCTTCACCACAAGTGAGGTCATAATGATTATTGGGGTCCCTATTAAGGGCACATGGCTAGTAAGTGTCAGAGTAACATTGGACCCAGAGGGTCCATCTCTAGAGATTTGTTAAATTAGAAGACACAATGAAAAGAAAAATTAGCATTTGTCCAACCTGGATTTCAGTTTCTTCATTTCCAATCCCAATTATTAGTAAGCAGAAATATGGAGATAAGGCTAAAGATTTGTGAATCAGAACTGTTCAGCTAGAGTAACTAATATAACAACTAAAATTCTGTTTCAAGATACTTTTGTACTAAAGGGCAGGTAGGGGTGGAGAAATAAACTACTATTTCTTAAGCAATGGTTCTGGACCAGGCATAAGGGTACTTTTTAAGGAGGTTACTACCCCTCTAACACACACACACACACACACACACACACACACACACACACACTTCTCTCTCTCTCTCTCTGACACACACACACACACACACACACACACACACGCCTTCAAATCCTAGAAATAAAGGAATACGTATTTGTAAAATCCATACCTTTTACTGGAACTTGACCAGAATGACTATATCTCTCCACTTTACCACCAGACACCAATGAGGACATAGTTATTGGGAGGCCAACAATCCTGTTAGCCCCAGCAGTTGTACAGCAGCCCAGGAATGCAAAGGACAGAGGCTTTCTCCTGGCTTTTGCTTGGTGGAGGTGAGGCCAGAGTCCCCTTCCAACCTGATGGCATACCCCACAGAAAGGGGTATATCCTTCTCTGTGCCCAGGCTAAGGTCCCCCAGCAACTCTACAAGGCAGGCATCCTGCCAGGTGGGCTGTGAAGTAGGATTGAGGAGGCCAAGAATTCAGGATGTTCTAGAGTGCTAAGATTTGACCCCTGGGCTTCCACCCTGAGCCAGGCACAATGCCAGTTGGAATCAAAGGCTAAGTGTCTAACAGGCTTGCATTAGACTCAAAGATAACAACACACACACACACACAAATATGATAAATATACACATATTCTTTTCATCACTGGCTTTAAGTTCTTTCTTTCTTTTCTTTTCTTTCTTTCTTTCTTTCATTGAGGATGGAACCCAGTGCCTCATATGTACTAGGTAAATGCCCTACCACTGAGCTACACCCCAGCTCTGGTTATAAGTTTTTTAATTGGCAAATAGAAATCTAATCCCTGGCTTCACCACTTCTCATTTGTGTGACCTTGGGCAAGTCATTCAACATCTCTGACTTGGTTTCCTCATCTTTATCACAAAGGTGATAACACCTACTCTGACAGGGTTGTGGGGAGAACCAAAGAGACTATGATGCAACACTTAGCATAGTGTGGGGCAAATGGCAATGAACTAGAGTGAGTCAAACTAAAGATTATAATAATAGTATAACATGGCTAATGACATTTATTTAAGCAATTAACCTATGAAATGACTTTAGAAGAGGTCAGTGAAAAACATTTAGCAGCAGCAAAGCCCTCAGTCTCATCAGTTTCTTGGAAGCCTCCAGATCACTTGAAGCGTCTGCATTAGCCCTGGCCTGAGTTCAGGGACAGGTGGCCATTTCTGTCAGCATGGGGGTAGAGAAATGACTAGAAGTTGTCAGTTTATCTCCTGAACAGATTAATCCATATCAAACCAAAGTGTTAAAGTGGCAAACATATGCTGAATGTCCTGATAACACTGATACATTAACTTAATCCAATACTGGGAATTGGAAAAGATCAAATGCTAGTATCAATCAATCTTTCATGGATGCTTCTCAAAGGAGAGGAAACTCTAGAAGCACAATTTCAATTTCTAGCTCTCAAATCTCTGTTATAATTTGATTTTAATTGCAAATGTTTGTTTACTTTAGTAAAGCTTCTCATGTGCTTCTTCCTATCAAAGCTGGAAAGAGCAGTGATTCCCTGTGGGTTCCAAGACAGATGCCTGGAAATACTGTGATTATCACAACCTGAGGAGGTGGGGGAAGCACTGCCGATATTTCATGGAGGCCACAGATGCTGCTAAATGTCCTACAATGCACAGAACACTCTCCACACCAGAGAGTTATTGGGCCCAGATGTCTATAGTGCTGTGGTTGAGTGCTGGGTAAGGCAGTCTTAGAAGTCATCTAGTATAGCTATGCTCAGGCAGAAGCTGTCTGGTGTTTAGATCTACAAAGACCCTGCCTGCTTACCTCATCTGTTCTGTCAACCTACCAGTTGAAAATTTTTGTTGTGGCTCTGTTTCCTCATCCATAAAAAGGGAATAATAATAATAAAAGCAACCATCTCTTGGGGGCTGGGGATGTGGCTCAAGCGGTAGCGCGCTCACCTGGCATGCGTGCGGCCCGGGTTCGATCCTCAGCACCACATACCAACAAAGATGTTGTGTCCGCCRAAATGTAAAATAAAATAATCATTAAAAAAAAAATATATCTTGTTTAAAAAAAAAAAAAGCAACCATCTCATATAGTTACTGGGAGCAGAAAATGAGATAATACAGGAAAGGTGCTTAGATGAATTGGTGGCATATCACCAGTCATCAACTTGTCACCAATTATTATTAGTTATCTTACAGCTATTATTAGCATCTTAGAGCTAATAACAGAACAGACTTATTCCTGTATACACAGTACTGCATCCAAATCTGTAGTGAAGCTGGGTGTGGTATCACAGTTGAGGCAGAAAGATCAAAGGTTTGAGGCCAGTTTGGGCAATGTAGTGAGACCCTGTCTCAAAATAAAAAATAAAATAAAAATAAAAAGGGATGGGAATGTAGCTCAGAGGTAGAGCACTCCTGGGTTCAATTCCCAGTAGTGCAAAAAAAACATAATCTATAGTGAAGATCCTGAGGGCAACACCACATCACCCACGTGTCCTGCCAAATGCTGCTAAATCATAGTATGAGGGATGAGAGCCACCAATAGAGAGCAAAAAGGAGCTCTAAGATACTCATTTTACAAATGAAGAACTCAAGAGGCCCAGACAAGTTTAGGTGATTGCCAGGGTCAAAAAACTATTTAGTGTTGGAATCTAACCCACAATCCATTCCAGTCTATCTAACCTTTCCTGCTGGAAATGCAAATTCTCAGCTCAAACCAGACCTGAGAATCAGAAACTCTGGAGATGGGCCTGCAAAGCCCGCCTAGGAATTTGGACCCATCATTAAGGGTAGGAGACCATTGTTCTAAAGGAGCATCCTAATAGCTGCCTGCTTCTTTTGATTTTAAGGATCCTGGGTGAATAAATTCCCAGTGGAAATGACACACAACCACAACTTCCGGCTGAATGAGCGAGAGGTGGTCAAGGTTCCCATGATGCAGACTAAGGGGAACTTCCTTGCGGCAAATGACCAGGAACTTGACTGTGATGTTCTCCAGTTGGAGTATGTAGGAGGCATCAGCATGCTAATTGTGGTCCCGCACAAGCTATCAGGGATGAAGACCCTTGAAGGACAGCTGACACCCCAGGTGGTAGAGAGATGGCAAAAAAGCATGACAAACAGGTACTTCTAGGTGTTTCTTCTAAAGGCTGGGGGTGCCCAGGACTACTGAAACTCTGGTCATTTTTTTAAAAAGGGAGAATTATGCATAACTACCCAAGAATGCCAAACAGGCTACTCTAATTCAGTCCAAATTTCTTGCTCAATGAGACAATCAGAGAGCTTAGGAGCAACACATCTGCTTTCTGAGGTCAATTTCAGAAGGCAGAGGCAGGTAGCTTAGAATCAGTTTGGAAATAAGTATCCCAGCTCTGCTACATATTTGCTTTGTGAATTTAAGTCCAGTTCCATCAACCTGAAAATGGTGGTAATTCCTTTACTTATGGGGGTCAAGATGAGAATAAGTGATATACCCCAGTGCCTGGAACCTAGGAGGAATTCAACAGAGATTAGCTTTCCCTTTTTCCACCCAGCAAATTCTAAGGTTCTCTAAACTCATTGCAGATTTGTGATTCATGATTTTCCTCTATTATTATTCATTGCTCAATAGTTAAAACTGCAGATTTTAAATATTTACAGAGACTATTATTGGACCATGGCAGAAAGAATGGAGAGGTCAGTCACATTTCTGTTTTATTGGATGCTACTTAGGCCAATATGAATAAGTAAATCTGGTTTAGAGCTCCTTTTAGAAGAAGAATACAGAGAAATGCAACAAAATAAGAAGTATGTTCTTTGAGAGGAAATTTCCCCAGGTGGCCTATCAGTCATCAAGCCTTGTGGATTTTTCCTTAAAAATGTCCCTTCCTTAAAAATGTCACTTCCTTCCTAATCTCCCTGCCCTGACTTCACCCTGAACCCAAGGAAGCCAAACCAACCTGCAAGTTCTATTCTTAGTCCACCCACATACCATCCACCAGATCACCATTCTCAGCACACCCTTCCATCCTCCCGTTCTCAGAAACTATCCCCTGGTAAAGGATATCAATCAAGTCCCTTATATGAAATGATCTATATTTGTATAAAATCTATGCAATCCTCTGCTATATTTTAAATAATCTCTACTTATTTATAATACCTGGTATAATGTAAATGCTATGTAAATAGTTGTGGTACTAAAGTATTTAGGGAATAATGATGAGAACAAGAAGTCTATACATGTTCAGAACAGATGAACTTTTCCCCCTAATATTTTTAATCTGTGGTTGACAGAACCCATGGATACAAAGGGCTGACTGTAGTTGGAATTACAGTAGGTGGTTGTTCCAAAATCCTCAACTGACAGTGCCAGGTTATAAATTTGAATAAGTGCTATGTTAATTTTGCAGTAAATGCAATACATGGTAGGGTGTGCACACTCATCAGGAAAAACATTATTCTTTTGTAATTTGTGATTCAATAAAACTGTGCCTCTTCCTATTCTTTGACTAGAACYCGAGAAGTGCTTCTGCCTAAATTCAAGCTGGAGAAGAACTACAATCTGGTGGAGGCCCTGAAGTCAATGGGAATCACAGAGCTGTTTGACAAAAATGGCAACATGTCAGGAATCTCAGACCAAAGGATCACCATTGACCTGGTAACTGTTCCTTTGTCTGCACTGGTCTAAGGGTCAGTCACAGCCTAACTCCCATCTCCATCTGTCCCTTCCCAGCCCTCCTCCACTCAATCTCATTTCCCAAGTCAGGGCTGCTGAAGCTCTTCTGGGTCTGGCTGTGGCACACAAGTATTCAGTTCTGCAGCCAGGGAGGGTAGTGCATTTGCCAGATGCTCACTAGGCAGAGTGGTCACAGGAACAGCCTTGGAATGAGTCCTATTATTGTGATATCCAAGCAAGGAGAGATGTGTGCTCCAATCTGTGAAATAGCTATGCTCAATTGAACTGTGAAAGACCCATTAAACACCCAGAAAATGTACTACACACACACATTTAACTTCACAATCCAACAAACAGACACTCAGCAAAAGAAAGTGAATAACAGGCCAAATGTTGTGGCCGATCTAGGCCTCTAGGCCCCTGCCCACCTAGTGCATGTGCACTCCAGACTTTTAGGAGGATATGGGGGTCTGCAGCAGCTGTCTTGGTTCCCAAAGCTTCTCAGACTGTGGTTGCAACTTAGAATAAATGTGGTTCTAGAGTATACAGGTAAGTACTTGTGATTATAACATGGCCTCTAAGCACAATTAACTGCAACTGACAGATGATGAAAGAAATTTTCAAGGGTAATTTTGAACAACTGTGATTTTTGCCAGTTGTGATTTGTGATTTTTGTGTGGTCTTTGGACATTTTTCTAAAGGAAATTAGACTCTATTAGATGTTCTATCATCTATGTACCAACCTATAGAATTTGACAATCTTTCTTTCCAATTTGAAACAGTTCAAACACCAAGGTACCATCACAGTAAATGAAGAGGGCACCCAGGCTGCGGCTGTGACCACCGTTGGGTTCATGCCATTGTCCACTCAAGTTCGTTTCACTGTTGACAGACCCTTTCTGTTTCTGGTCTACGAACATCGCACCAGCTGTCTGCTCTTCATGGGGAGAGTGGCAAACCCTGCCAGGTCTTAAAGATGGCACCTGGGCACAATCCAGTGCTTCAGCACCCCTGGATTCAATCCCCTATACCAATTCTATTTCCATTCTATCAATGAGGACAGAGATGTTTTGGTACCAAGACTTCCACGGTTACCAAACAGAATCAAGGTTCTTATGGAAGAAGAAATTTACTAACAACTGAGAAGCTGGTTGGGATCAATTTTGCATATTAAACAATGCCATAAGTCAACAGGAGCTAGTATAACCAACTGGTGTGTCAGGTGTTCCTAAAGAGTCTTGAAAACAGACTCTCTCACCTTCTTCCTGCCTCCTCATAGCAAACCTATAAAGTGTACTCAGCACCTTCTTTCCTGACAGCCCCATCTTGCACATCTGGCCCTATTACTTAAAGCCTTTCTCAACCAGGGACCCCCATCAAAACACAGAGATGAGTTACATGACTAATTTTTCACCTCAAAGAGAGTGCCTAATTATTATCATTCCCAATGCCCAGGAGAGAAATAACCTGAGACATACAAAGGGTTCCCTGAGCATTGGGTCTTAATTCTCTCAAGGCCTAATCTTCCAAATCCATGTAAATGTCCTACTGTCATCTTCTACTACTCAGAGGACAGTGTATGTACACAAGGCCATGTCTTCTACCCTAGAGATAAATAAAGATAGCCACATTTACTGTGTCTCTAATTCGATTTTCTTTAACAAAGGCTGAATTCAAAAGAGCCATATCCTACTGGGCATGATGGCATATGCCTGTAATCCCAGCAATTTGGGAGGCTGAGGCAGGAAGATTAAGTTTAAGATAAGCTTTAGCAACTGAATGAGACCTTATTTCAAAATAAAAAATAAAAAGGGTTGGGGATGTGATTCAGTGCTTCAGCACCCCTGGATTCAATCCCCTGTACCAAAACCAACCAACCAACCAAACAAATAAAACCTCACCAAAAAAAAAAAAAAAAAAAAAAAAAAAAGAATGAGGTCTGCATGGAATCCCTGAAACAATGCTCTAAGTCATCCCCAGTCTTTCCACTGTCTTTAAGTGGGGTCCATGTTTTAGCTTTCATCCTTCAGACATGATTTTGTAGTGGATATAGTTTGATAAAGCAGGCAACAGCCAAGGAATGTATTTCTGGATCCCTCACTACCTGGACAGAGTGCCTGAAATCCAAAAAAGTTGCTCAGAATGCAAAAGTTATGTTAAGCCTTCAATTAGGGGGACAATCACTGTCACAAGAGCAGTACTCATAGCCTGGAAGGAGAAACTTTACCATTCGTCCTCTCTTTTCAAGAGAGGAAGAGGAGGACTGAAGGGTTCTGAAACCTGCCCACGATGTAGCTGCAGTATCTAGTGTGAATGGGGTTCAAGAACAGGCTGGCTTGCCGGCAAGATTACCTAAGAAGTCTTGTCACAAAAGATCAGATGAGGCCAATGCCAGTAATGGGAGCAGCGGAAGGGGAATGACAACAGAAAGGGAAAGAAGGCATTGCCATTGCATGGGTGGTCTTGCTGAGAACTCAAATCAACTCTAGGAGGTGTGCACTGGAATCACCTCTTTTTTATAGCAGAGGAAACAATTCAAGCTCAGAGAAGGGAAGTGATTTGCCTCAGACTTAGATCTAAACCCAGATATCTGGGACCAGGAGCCTACTTTTCTTTGCTAACCTTCCTCACTTGTTCACTGTATAACTTCCTACACCAGTCCTTGCTTCAGCATGCTACAGAGAAAAGGACAGATCAGGGTTGAGACCAAAACTTCCCATCATAACCTCTGAGCCTCTTGATGAAGCCTAACATAGCTAATGACCCAATTATTCCATTCTTTCTCCAATGTACTTTAACATTGTTCTTTTCTGGTATTTATCCTATATTTTTCATCTTGTTGCTGGTTCCCCTCCCTCCCTCCCTCCCTCCCTTCCTTCCTTCCTTCCCCTCTCTCTCTTTCTTTCTTTCCTTCTTTCTGGAGGGTACCAGGGATTGAACCCAGAGGCTCTCAACCACTGAACCATATCCCCAGCACTTTTTAAAAAGATTTGTTCTTTTTAGTTTTACATGATAGTAGAATATATTTTGACGTATCATACATACATGGAGTATAACTTCTAATTCTTTTGTTGTACATGATGTGGAGTTACTACTTCTCCCATTTCTAAAGATAGTTACTTCAAAAATTCTGTCTTAAAAAGCTGGGCATGGTGGTGTGTGCCTGTAGTTGCAGTTATCTGGGAGGTTGAGGGGGGAGGATTGCTTGAGCCCTGGAGTTTGAGGCCAGCCTGAGCAACACACTGAGAACCCATCTCAAAACAAACACACAAACCCCTCTGTCTTTAGCCATATCTATCCCCTTCTCAGAACGGCAATGGTCTCACTTTCAAGTACCCTGCAATATCTCAGCTACAGCATGTCTGGATTCCTTCACACTCCTGCACAGGTCAGAATGCTCCAGTCTCTATGTTTTTTTGTTCACTTATATCCATTTGGATTCCCTCTTACAGAAACCAGTCCACTCATTTTTCAAGTAGAATGTTAAGTCAGAGTACAGGATTTGAGTCAGGCTGCCTGAGTTTGAAACCTGACTCTAACATCTACATCAAAGTCTGGAAAAGGTATAGGTCAGTAATAGGTGTTTAGCAAGAGCCAGGTGAGGATTTTTTTTTTTTATCTTAATCTAACAGAGTATCTCACCTAGGGATTCCTAACTGGAGGCCCTGGATATTCCCATTTAACTCCCTGAGGTAAAATGCAGAACCTTGAGAATTTGTGTGTGTGTGTGTGTGTTGCTAGAGATTGAACCCAGGGCCTTATACTCACTAGGCAAGTGCTCTACCACTAGGTTATATCTCCAGCCTAAATATATGCATTTCTATAGAGAGTGAGTTTACAGCTTTCAAAAGGTTCCACAACCCAGAAAATACTAATTCATAAACAGGACTATTTTTTGAGCAAGGGATATATCTTATTAAACCACTGCTTTATCACAGTGGAATGATGAGGTGTCTAAGGATTAGATAACTTTCAAAATGCTTATCAATGGGCTATATAACAATAAAAGCAATTTAATTAATGATATTTCTGAAGGAATACTATTTCACAAAATTTCAAAACAAAAATCACTAAATGTAAACAAGAAGTAGCCCCAAAGTTCATATGACCCAACCTACCAGTGACTCCAGGTTCCCAAGGACCCTGAGAAGTAAACAGTTTCATTAAAGCCAAAATCCAGCCTTCCTACTTATATCCACTGGCCCTTCTACTCGGCAAAGAAATTTGAGACAGTGTCACCAAAGGTCAAAAAAAAAGTATACCTTTCTCTTAAAGAATAAAAAATGGAAACAAAAATAACAACAACAAAAAACCCTTTGGAAGTCAGTTTCCACCAGAAGGTTCAAGGGGTAACCACAAAGTAAATGCAAGAACCCATGGTCCCTATGCTCTTTGTTGAGCAATAAAATCAAATATTTGTTTCCTCCCCCATAATATAACCATTAACTTTTTGTTAAAAATACAATACTAATTCTATTCATGTAAAAGGTCAGGTGAGTGGGCATTTAAGTATGTATATTCTGAACTGTCACTAATAATGGTTATGCCTACACTGACCCTGGGGAGAAGCCCAGGAGTTCCTACAGAGTCCTATATGCCAGACCAGGAATCCAATCCCAGCCGTTATGATCCTAAAACCCATGTGCTTCCAGCCATTGGGAAACACTAAGAACAGTAAAAACAACATCTACAAAGGTCATCTTAAAGAAGCAGAAACAGACTAAAATAAAATTAAGATGGAAATGAGCTCTCTACCCTGGTACGCTGTGATAAGAGGCAGGGCTTGTGGCCAGTGTGCCAACAATGGCTTCCAGAAGAGACTTGGGGCTACAGCTTCACAGGCTGAGTACCAACAAGAGGACTCCAGGCCTCATCTCACAGAAAAGAGCTGAGGAAACAAAGGTTGAGCCAACACTGGTCAGAGGCATGAATGCAGGTCATAACAGAGGTTGAGAACAGAGTCAGACCTAGGACCTGAGAGTCATGCAAGAGGGAAACTGAGGCAAGTTCCCAGGTCAGCTGGCAGAGGAGATTTGGACAGGACACAGAGAAAGAGTGATACCTATGAGGCAATCAAGGAGAGCTAGTGGTGGCTGAAACACTAGCTCAAAACACTCGGGTTTCAAAACAGCATTTTTCTAAGAGACATACTGTGCATGAGTGCAGTACCTGGAGTTTTAAACCATTAGATTAATGAATACTCACCACAGCTATTACAGGAATGAGTACTCCCAAGTTCCCCGCGCTGCTAGAAGCCTAGAAAGAACAGAACTAATGTCACCAATGAGTATGCACTTATTTTAAAAAACAAGACACCGTGTCATATAAACCTGAATTCCCTAATCTAAAAGAAATGATCAGAGGGCTGGGGTTGTGGCTCAGTGGAAGAGTGCTTGCCTAGCCTGAGCGAGGCCCTGGGTTCGATCCTCAGCACCACATAAAAATAAATAAATAAATAAAGGTATTGTGACCAACTGCAACTAAAAAATAAATACTAAAAAAAAAAAAAGAAGAAATGATCAGAGATGTGTACACAAAGAGAGGCACAGAGATGCTCATCTAAGCCAGGCACAATGGTGCTTGCCTGTAATCCCTACTACTTGGTTGTCATCAATTAGTTGTAAACATTATCTGCAATTAGACCAGTGATCCCTACCACTTGGGAGGCTGAGGCAGGAGGATTCACAAGATTTGAAGCCAGCCCGGACAATGTAGACTTAGTCTCAAAATAAAAAAAATAAGGATTGCGGATGTAAGTCAGAGGCAGAATACTCCTGGGTTCAACACACACACACACACACACACACACACACACACACACAAAATCATGAGCTGGAGATGTGGCTCAGTGGTAGAGTGCTTGCCTACCATGCATGAAGCCCTGGGTTGAATCCCCAGTAGCACATAAAAGAAGTAAAAGAAGTCAGGTTTAAGAGCATGCTAAGATTCAATTTCAGGTAATACACATATGCATAAAACATCAAGGAAGAAATCAACAGGGTGATATATTTGCTAGCACTATTCACTACTTCTTCTCCAGGCAGCCCTTATTCCAGAGTTCATATCTCAGAGGGAAAAGCTCAACAGCTACTCAATAAATACTTATTCACCACTTGGCTAGCAAGCAAGAACTATTCTTCAAAGACCAGAATTCAAAGCTTTGTATCCAGCTCAGTGATTAGYAAAGGGGATCCCTGCATTGGCTCTCATGGTGCAACCTACAGTATTGAATGAAGTACTAAAAATCAAGAGTCTTGAGAAAAGAGGCAGATGGGAGCAACCATGGGTCCTAGGTATCCTTTGGGGACACCGAGGCCCAAATCCTGGGGGAAAGAAGGTCTGTGACACATTATATCTTCTGCCTTCTCAATACTTTGTACTCCCTCCATCACCAGTGCTCCCCTGCATCCCAATGCCTGGGGTTCTGCTGGATGCAAGAGATGCTTTGTCTCCTGTGCATTGGACTCATCTCAGTTGTGCACTACCTGGGAGATTTGATCAATCAGTCACCAAATCACTGGCAAGGGGTCCAGCAGAGCAAGTCTGGTCCAGGTCTTAAGATCTCTTTTTGTACTAGCTACTCCATCCTGGCTGACTATCAATGTAGGGCTTCTTATTGTAATTGTCAACTCAGAT